CTGCGATCTTTTGACACATCCCCTTTTTGCTTACTTTAAAAAAAAATTTTTTTTTTTAGACTCCTGCTCTGTTGCCTAAGCTGGAGTGCAGTGGCACGATTTCGGCTCACTGCAACCTCCACCTCTTGGCTTCAAGCGATCCTCCTGCCTCAGCCTTGAGAGAAGAGGGGACTACAGGGGCATGCCACCATGCCCAGCTAAGTTTTCTTTTGTTTTGTTTTGTTTGTTTGTTTGTTTTTTGAGACGGAGTCTTGCTCTGTTGTCTAGACTGAAGTGCAATGGTGGCATGATCTCGACTCACTGCAATCTCTACCTCCCAAATTCAAGTGTCCCGATTCTCTTGTCTCAGCCTCTCAAGTAGCTGAGATTACAGGCGGACACCACCATGCCCGGCTAATTTTTTTGTATTTTTAGTAGAGATGGGGTTTCACCATGTTGGCCAGGCTGGTCTCAAACTCCTGGCCTCAAGTGATCCACCTGCTTGGCCTCCCAAAGTGCTGGGATTACAGGTGTGAGCCACTGCGCCCGGCCGTCCCTTTTTGCTTAACTTAACCAGACTTGTTTTCGGTTGTTTGAAATAAAGGAAACCTACTACAGGATGCAGCATATTAATACAAGCAAGCAAGCAAACAAAAAAAAAGCATTAAAAAAATGCCTCTCTTGACCCCACATTCCTTCCCAAGTGACACCTTTCTTCTCCTCTTTATGGCATCTGCACACGCACCATCTCTAGTTCTCTCCTCCCGCTCACCCCCAACCCACGCCAGTGGCTTCTGCCTCTGCCACCTCACTGAAGGCGTTTGCTCCAAGCACTCTGTGTCACCATGATGTCCCAGTTTCCTGCTGTCCTTTCTGGCTGCTCCTCCACCCTTTGTCACCAGGTGACTCACAGATGGGTCCTAAGCCCTCTCCTCACTCTACTCTTTCCCTGAAGACCTTATCCACCCCTGTGACTCCAGCAACCACCCCATGTCCGTGACACCCAGACTTCTGAAAAACTCCGGTCCTTGGCAGGGCGTGATGGTTCACGCCTGTAGTCCTAGCACCTTGGGAAGCTGAGGTGGGCAGATCACTTGAGATCAGGAGTTCAAGACCTGGCCAACATGGTGAAACCCCATCTCTAGCAAAAATACAAAAATTAGCTGGGTGTGCTGATGGGCACCTAATCCCAGCTACTCAAGAGGCTGAGGCAGGAGAATCGCTTGAACCCGGGAGGTGGAGGTTGCAGTGAATCGAGATCACACTATTGCTCTCTAGCCTGGGTGACAAGAGTGAAATCCCAAATCAAGGAAAGAAAACAGAAAAACCCCATCCAGTCCTATATGTGCAACCCGCCTGTCCACATGGTGCCTCAAACATCCCAGTGTGCCCCCACTGGACTCCTGAGTGCACCCCACACTCATTCCTCTTCTGTTAGGGTTCAGAGTCTCAGCAAATGGCAGTTGGCCCATGTGGTCCTCAGGCCTGAGCTGCTCTCTACCAAAGCAATCTACACATATCCATCCCCTCCTTTCTCCATGCAGTGCAGCTTGTACCTCCAGGACCCAACCCAGGAAGAGCTCAGTAAATATTTGATCAAGTGACTGATAGCAGCAATAATACTCCACGGGACACATTCACAAACACCCTCTTCCCCCAGCCTTGTTATGTAGATATAATTACTACCACCCTGCAGATGAGGAAACTGATGCCCAGAGAGATGAACAGTTTTACTTCGGTGTGGGGTTGCAGAGCCAGTGAATATGTGGGGGAGTTGAGATTGGAATTCAAGTCTGACTCCCCATTCTGGGTTCTCCCGGGGCAGCTGCCACAGCCAGGGGAGCCTCCTTGCCAGGGCATGAATGGAAGAAGGGGGCCAATTGGACAAGAAGCAAAGCCCTGGTGGTGAGGGCCAGCCAGCTGTGTCCGCAGGTCGATTGCATGGCAGACATCTCCTGACGCCCAGCCCCAAGAATGCTTCCTTGAAACACACACAGTGAGGTTCTTGGTTTTTGAAATGTCCTGGGAGCTGAGAACCCCAGGTTTGGGGCCTGGATCTGGCACCAACTCTCAGGGTAACCACAAGCAGTCCATCCCTTCTTGGGGCTCAGCTGACTTCACTAAAAAGGGAATATGAGTAAGATGCCTAAGATGTGGAAGCAGAGGTCCTAATTCCTGGACAGGGGCAGAAGTGGGTAGTGTCCTCGACAAACAAATCCCCTATTTGCTTCCTTTAAGCAGGATCCCCCTACCCGGCAGTGTGTGCTGGTGAGGACTAAGCCTGGGACCTGACGTAGACACCCCTGTGGGCATTTGGCCAACGGCAGCCATCTGCCAGAATCTCAGAGCTGCTCTCAGACCTCGCTGGAGATGGTTACTTGGGGCAGTCTGGATCTCTCTGAGCAAACTGAGGTCCTTTGCTCCCCAAACAGGGAGAATTAGAGATAGTGTTGGCTCGCAGGCACTAGAAGGGAGGAGCGCAGACCTCTCCGCACAGGGCTGGGCCAACAAGTTAGGGGTCCTGGGACAGCCGACAACAGAGAAGTGCCAACACTGGTGGGTCCGGAGTTGGTGGGTTCTTGGTCTAGCTGACTTCAAGAATGAAGTCACGAACCCTCGCAGTGTTAGTTCTTAAAGACGGTGTGTCCCGAGTTTGTTCCTTCTGATGTTCAGACGCGTCCGGGCTTTCTTCCTTCTGGTGGGTTCGTGGTCTCGCTGACTTCAGGAGTGAAGCTACAGACCTCCGCAGTCAGTGTTACAGCTCTTAATGGCCACATGCACTCATACAGTGAGCAACAACAAAATTTATCGCAAAGAGCAAGAGAACAAACCTTCCACAGCACCGAGGAGAACACAGCACATTGCCAGAGACCCCCGCAGATTTGGGCAGCCTGCTTTTATTCCCTTATCTGACCCCACCCACATCCTGCTGATTGGTCCATCTTACAGAGAGCTGATTGGTCTGTTTTGACAGGATGCTGATTGGTGCGCTTGCAAACCTTGAGCTAGACACAGAGTGCTGATTGGTGCCTTTACAATCCTCCGGCTAGACACAAAAGTTCTCCAAGTCCCCACCGGACTCAGGAGCCTAGCTGGCTTCACCTAGTGGATCCCGCCCTCCAACGGCAGGCGTAGCTGCCCGCCAGTCCCGCGCCATGCACCCGCACTCCTCAGCCCTTGGGCGGTTGATGGGACCTGGCGTCGCGGACCAGGGTGGGAGGCGTGGGCCACGCAGGAGCCCACAGCGGTGGGGAGGCTCGGGCATGGCGGGCTGCAGGTCCCGAGCCCTGCCCCGCGGGGAGGCAACTGAGGCCCGGCGAGAATTCGAGCGCAGCGCCGGCGGGCAGGCACTGCTGGGGGACCCGGCGCACCTCGGTCCGCCGAGCCACGCCCACCCGGAACTCGCGCTGGCCGGGGAGCGCCGCGAGCGGCCCCGGTTCCCGCCAGCGCTTCTCCCGCTACACCTCCTCGCAAGCAGAGGGAGCCGTTTGTGGCCTCCACCAGCCCAGAGAGGGGCTCCCACAGTGAAGCGGCGGGCTGAAGGGCTTCTCAAGCGCGGCCAAAGTGGGCGCCGAGGCTGAGGAGGCGCCGACAGCGAGTGAGGGCTGCGAGGGCTGCCAGCACGCTGTTACCTCTCACTGCGACCCAATTATGTGATACTGGAGCCCAGAGATAGTACAGTACCTCATACCATGCGGCCCTGGGTGAACAGCAGGAACCCCTTGCAGGTGGAGGGAGGCCGGGGCTGCCTGTCCCTGCGCCCTGAAGCTGGCCAGCGGTTGTGGAAACTGGGGGACGTTGAGGGAACGGTACACCTAGGTCCTCAGCCCCAGTGTGGAACCTGGCGATCCCAGGGCCTGGGCTGGCTCCCCGCGTCGTGGGACCGGAAAGGCGCGGCGGCGCTGCGGAGAATTGCAGGGAAGAAGGCGGGCTCCGGTGGAGGTGGCTCATCCCCGCACGGTCACTGCCCTCGCCCGCTGTTGGGGTGCGCAGCAGGGAGACTGAAGGCCTCAAGTTTGGGCTGGGTAGAGGCACGTGGGCGGGGAAAGGGGTAGTAGATTACTGGTCTTCAGGGGCGGGGCTGGAGATGCAACCCTGGGGAAGGAGTCTATCAAGGCTGGGCTCTTGGGGGGCGGTGGAGGGCTACGGGGACCAGGTCAGGCCAGAATCATGGAGCTCAAAGGACTGGAGTGAGGTCTGGGGTCCGTGAGGGTGGAGCTCCGAGGATGGGACTGTGGGTCCACGATTTCTGACCTGGGGCTGGAAAATTCGAGGCTATTGGAGACCAGGCCTGGTATCCTAGAGGAAAGGGCCCTATAGGAAGGGGGTCTCGTGGGCGGGATCGGGAGCCAGATAATTGTGAGAGGCGGGGCTGGGATGGCGAAGGCGAGAGGAAAGGGGTAGCCACCGGCGCGGAGATCTCAATGCGGGGCGTGGTGCGGAAGGGAACTGGAGCGAGGGGGCGGGGCTACGAGGAGGTGGACTTGGGGGGCTGGGTCTGGGGCTGGAGGATTGTGGGGAGCTGCGCCTATACACCCGGGACGGTGGGGTTGCGTCGGGGAAGTGAGAGTGTTGGGGGTTAGCCGGGCAGCCTGGAGAACAGGCGGTCGTGGTGCGCGCGGGGCCGAAAAGATCGAGGACAGTGGGGACCCGGCCTGAGGAGGGGTCGGGAAGGAGGAGTGGGGGCGCGCGGACGCAGGTCCCGGGGCGCAGCGGGGCGGGGGCGGGTTCCGGAGCGGGGCGGGCCCAGGTGAGCGAGGTCTCCGCCCGCCGCCCCTCCCGCCGCCCCGGTGTCGGCGGCCCCGCCGGCCCCTCCCTGTACCCGGCGCTGGCTCCGCGGGCCAGGCCGACGGCGGCGGGCGGCGTCTCGGGCCCAGGCCGGGTCGGCTCCGGCTCCATCTTGGGCCGCGGCACCTGGCACCTGTGGCGGCCGCATGAGCAGCGCTTCCCTCGGCATGCGCGGCCCGGGCGGGCGAGAGGGTGAGAGGCCGGCTCCGCGCGCGCCCGTGGGGGCGGGGGGCGTGGTGGGCCGCATCTCCCCCTTGCTGAGCCCTAGAACCCACTCCTCCCTGCTCCTGCGCTCAGACCCCCGGCATCCTGGCCCCTGGCCAGCACGCAGAGCCACCGGTGACCGCATCGCACTCCCCGCTCTCAGCCTCTCATTGTCCTGCCCTGTCTTGTTCCCTCTTTCACGTTTCCTCTGCCCATCCTCCCATTTTTCACAAGTCTGTCCGGGACCCTGTCTCCTTCGGCCTCCACCCCTGCTGCCATCTCTCCTCCCTCTCCCCTTCTTCCGCTTCCCTTCCTTCAGCCTCCTGCGCCGCCTACCCCGCCCCCAGCCTTGCTGCCCTTTGGCTCCTCCTGCCCCGCATCCTTACCCCGGCCCACAGCCCCATTTGCCTGCAGTCGCTGCCTTTGCTTCTGAGAAGGTCTGTAGCCTCGTTTCGGGCCCGTATTGAGCCCCCTTCTCCCTAAGTCCGGGTGGGCTTTGTGCAGCAGGGGCGGGAAGGGAGCTGTGCTGGGCGAGGCTGCGTGGTGCGGTGCGTTCAGGCCTTTGGCCCCACAGCGGGGGCGGCCTGTGCTTGGCGTGCAGAGTGCAACTGGGTAGGCGCTGTTACTGCAAACGGGCCTGTGTGTCCCAGGCTGGGGCGTAACTGCTTGTGAGCCTGCAGATGGGGACACACCGGCCGCCTAGGCTGCTTCTAGGCTGAGGCACCTTCTCCACCTAGCTGCCCCCCAGGGAGTGTGGGCAAATCCTCCCCAGGGGAGGAATGTTGGGCGCCTAGGCCTCTTCCTGGTGAGCAGAGCCTCATCCATGGGGTCACTGACCCCACAGTTACCCCAGAACCCTTTGCTGGCACAGCTTGTGACCTGGGGCGTGTAGCCCTTAAGGCACGTTCATTGTGAAGGGCAGATTTTGTCTCCTCCAAACCCTCCATTTAGGAATGCTGCCTGCTGCGTTGCCTAGGGTTGGCCCTGAGTGTTCCTATCAATCGCCGTTCACTCTGGGGTGGATTAAACCACCTCCTGGAGGGTGCTGTATCCCCACTGTGCTATGGGGGGGTTTGTGTCGTGTGCATTCCTGCCTGGTCCCTGAGAGGTAAGGTCCATATTTTAACATAGAACCAGTTTTCCTGCCTGACTGTATAAGTTTGCTTTTTCTATTTTGGTTTTGCTGGACACATAAGTCATCATCCAAACGCTTGCCACTTAACAAGAGAGGACTTGGGCCAGGCGCTGTGGCTCACGCCTATAATCCCAGCACTTTGGGAGGCCGAGGCAGGCGGATCATCTGGGGTCAGGAGTTCGAGACCAGCCTGGCCAACATGGCAAAAACCCCATCTCTACTAAAAATACAAAAATTAACTGGGCGCGGTGGTGCTCGCCTGTAGTCCCAGCTGCCGGGAAACTAAGGCGGGAGAATCGCGTGAAGCCAGGAGGCAGAAGTTGCAGTGAGCGGAGATTGAGCCATTGCACTCCATCCTGGGAGACAGAGCAAGACTGTGTCTCACAAACAAACAAACGAACAAAGCCAAGAGGGGACTTAGATGGATGCCATAGTGTCGTCTGAGATGGAGTCCACTTGTGGTGGTCTTGGTAGTCCCCCTGGGCATATCCCAAAGGCCTGGGCTCCTCTGCTGGGGCAGCATCGCGGGAGCTGGACTCTCTAAGTTGACCCAACGGTTTCTATGTTTGGGCTAGTTTGGAAGTGTCTGAGAAGTGGGGGCTTTTTACTCAAAATGACATTGGTTGATTGCTACATAGGTGGTTGATCTTGCAGTTGCCGACACGTGGAACCTGAGGCAGCAGGACAGCCTGGCGTTGGCCACGGGACATTGGCCACAGCCATAGCAACTTCGGCATCAAATGGGGCAGGAGAGAGAACATTAAGGTATCGTTCAAAGAACACTAGTGTCTTAGATACTTCTGTATGCCTCTTCTTTATCTCATCCTAAAAGATCTTCGCAGGGTCCCATTAGGGCAAAACCAGAACCTTCTGCATGGTTATAAAGGCAGGGTGGGCATGCCGTTCTGGGCATTTAAAGTGCAGACTCTAGACTTGTATGCATGCGTAGCCTCCTAGGTTAAGATTTAAAATAGGCTCTGGGAAACCTACTTTGGTAATAGGGAGACTGGGGACACTGATGGTGACTTGATTCTAGGATGGGATGAAGGTAGCGAGGATGGGAAGCAAGACGAGGCTAACCTATGGGGTGTCTCGATGGCTTCTGAAAAGGGCCTGTCTGCCCCCCAGTACTAATACTTGTTATACCGTGAACTTCAGCTGCTCTTGATGGGAGAGGAGAGAGAAGATTATTGTTAACAAACACTGTTGCAGACAGTGCGCCTGCTGTCACATTTAGTCTTCACAACAACCCTGCAGGATGGGGATTTACTTCTGTTTTGCAGATTGGAGAAACTGAGGCTCAAAGAAGTTAGGGGTCCACCTGTGAGCACATGCACAGGAAGGGGAAGAGCCGCCATTGGAAGCAGAGCCCTGCCCCTTCCTCCTCACACCTGGCTCCCTGGGAGGCCCCTCCTCTGGCCTCGTACACAGCATTGTGACAGGCAGTATGGAAGCCTCTTTCCCGCAGTACTCCCCTCAGAGCCCTTCCTTCTGAGCTGGGAAGGCCAGGTTGTAGTTGGCCAGGTCAGTTCCTTGGGGTTCTGAATTAGCAACTTTCAGCCGTGTGTTCTTTGACATTTCTGAGCTTCTCCAGGCCTCAGTTTTGTCACCTGCCACTTTTGGAGGGGGAAGGGGGAAGGGAACCAGTAGCCCACCACAGGGGTCTCTGGGTGCTGGGCAGCCCTCTGGTGAGACAGGCATAGTGGGATGCTCGTTGCTGATGGCTTCTCAGTGGGTCTTGGTGGGGGTCTGAGGACCTCATTCCACCTGTCTCCTCAGGGGCCAGAGGCTGCTGGCCTGGCTGTTTGTGGCCCCCTCCCTGGGAGGGTGGTGGGTTTGGCCAGAAGCTGTGTAGGTGTCCAGATGGGCCTTCCCTGGGGTCTTGGACCTGCAAATGAGTGGTTTTCTCCCTGCCAGGGGCCGTCCCAGTCAGGAGGAACACCTCCCGCCCTCCTCATTCTTGCAGCCTCAGGAGCTGCTAAGAAGCAGTTGGGCAGGTGGGGATCCACTCAGTGACTTGTTCCATGGCATGTCATGAGCACGATTGGCAGGGCCAGGCCAGATCAGTAAAAAGGTCGAGAGCTGTGAGGCACAGGCCTGCTCAGTGCTCGAAGGGGAGAGGAGCTCAGATGTCCCTGAGCTGTGTGCCCTTGGGGGTCACTAAGCCTCTCTGAGCTTATGGAATTCTCCTGTCTGTAGAATGGAGATAATGACTGTCTCAAGAGGTTGCTTGCACAGTTACATGAGACAATGTGTGCAAAGGATGTGGCACATGCCTGGCCCTTGGCGAGTGATCAGGCCCTGGCAGCTGTTATTACCATCGCTGTTACAGGCTTTATTGCCCTCCTTTGTTTGTATGTCCATCTTAGAGCTCATTGAGGGCAGGGTCTGGGTCAGAACCCTCTCTTGGCTACTCCTCCTTTTCCTGATCCTCCCAGGGACAAGTCTGGTTTCAGCCCCGTGAAGCAGCTGGGATGGGACATCCTTACCAGGCTGAGGCTGTGTTCAGAGCTGCACAGTCCAGTACAGTAGCCATTAGCCTCATGTGGCCAGTTAGATCCAAATAAAACTTAAACATTCAGTGTCTCAGTTGCAGTGGCCCCCTGCCGAGTGCTTGGTACCCACATGCCATTGGTACCTACCTATTAGCACAGGGTAGAATCTTTCCATCATTACAGGAAGTTGTGCAGCGCTGGAGTCTCAGGGACTATAGCACCAGTATCATCCTCACTGTGGCTCAACAGCCACCAGCCGTCTCCTGAGTGCTGGGCTGCCAAGACATTTGTAATTACACAGAAACCGAGTCCCACAGCCCTTCCCGAATTTCCTCTTGGGTAGCCTTGCTCACCTGGCCGGGGAGGTTGTTTCCTGGCAGTCCTTATCAGCTTAGGGTGGGAGGGCAGGACTGGGATTGCACAAATGCAGCTGCTGCCTCCTGTCCCCACCCTGTTTCTCCAGCCTCTCCTGCCTGTCAAGGAGCCCCAGAGTGCTCTTCCTAATTCACTGCTGTGGCCAGGGCCAAGGTGACCCAGACACTTTGACCCCAGTGCTCCCCTCATGCCTCTTTCCTCCTGCCCACCCTGCTCTCCACCTGAACACGTTCTTGCTTCTCTCACTCCAGGCCTGACTTATGTGGCTGGTCCTCCGGGAAGCCTTTTCTCATCTCTCACCCTAAGTGAGCTCTCCTGCCTCGGCGGGGCCCTCCCTCAGACCCCATTTTTGGCACTCAGCGCCCTCCTCTGTGGGTGTGTTCTTATATTTGCTTGTTCTCTTGGTTAGGTACACAGGAGATATTCTCTGAGTGCCAACTACATGTCAGGTCAGTGCTGGGTGTTGGACAGCCAGAGGGGAGCAGGCCTCAGGCCAGGCTTTGCCAACTTCAGGCTGGTGGGGAGGCTGACAGTTGGCCAAACTGTTCCATCCAGGCCCAGTGCTTGGTCAGGGATGAAGGCTGCCTGGCTGGAGAGTCAGGAAAGGGGCCCCAGGAAGAGACGCTGAGGTGGAGAGGGTCAGAGCTGCCCTAGGCTGCAGCTGGGTCAGGGGCCAGGGTAGTCTTTATGGCTGGGGGAAGTGACAGCGATGGCAGGGAGGGTGGGGGACAGTGAGGATGCAGGTACACTGGGCAAGAGGGGGTTAAATGTCATGCAGGGTAGGTCTGATTGGTGGTACCGGGTGGGCATCTTATCTCACTGCTGCACTGTCCCCAAGAGTACAAAAAGGTCTGAATGAATCCCATGTTCCCTAGCCCTAGAGCTGGGGACGCAGTAGGGGCTCAGGAGATGGCTGTGGAATCAATGACCAGATGCTGAATGAGTCCCTCATGGAAAAAGCTGACGCGTGGGGCCTCTCCCTGCCCCTGGAGCTGGAGGTGGGAGTCAGGGAACCCTAGAGACATGCCAGCTCAGCCAGGCTAGGCCAGGGAGGATGGGGGTGGTTGGGGAAGCCCAGGGTGATTCTCAGTGTCCTCCAGTCATTGCTCCCTCATCCCCTGAACTTTCTCTGAGCTCCCACTCTGTACCAAGGAGACCCTGTCCACAGTGAGTTGGATACTGCCAGTCCCAGGAGGAAGTAGCCCAGTGTTGGGCTGTCCAGCTGTGCCCATTAAGAGGCCATAGTACTTCCGTACTGGTTGACTAATAGCTGTTATCCCACAGCCCCACCCCCTAGGGCTGCAGTTTCGCTCTCAAAGCCCCGGCAGACTTGGCCCTCTCCCTTCCCCTCCCACACAAGCCAGCCAGTAAAGAGTCGAGAGCGGAAAGAGTGGCGGCCTCCAGGACCCCACCCAAGGGCAGATTCTAACTGCTTGGGACTGATGATGAGATAATTTGCAGTGTCATCCTTGTGTCTAATGTGAGATGACCTTGATTTGAAGTGTCTGGTGTCTTGTCACCGCCTTGTGTACAACCGTATGCAAGTACCAGTCAGGCAGGCTGGGACTGAAGCTGGCTCCCTGGTGAACCTAGCACTGTGGGAGCTCACAGTAGAACCAGCTTAGGTGCTGCCACCCAACTCAACTCCACTCCCTCCCTTTCTCTCTTCTGCAGGCAGCCATGAGCTCCAGCCGCCCTGAGCCGGGTCCCTGGGCACCCCTGAGCCCCCGCCTTCAGCCCCTGTCCCAGAGCTCTTCCAGCCTGCTGGGTGAAGGCCAGGAACAGAGGCCAGAGCTCCGCAAGAGTGCCAGCAGCACCGTGTGGCAGGCCCAGCTGGGCGAGGCCAGCACCAGACCCCAGGCCCCGGAGGAAGAGGGGAACCCGCCTGAGAGCATGGAGCTGGCGCGGGCCTCTGGCCCTGAGGCACGACCCAGTGCTGGAGGCCACTGGCGGAGCAGCACTGTGGGCAATGTGTCCACCATGGGCGGTGGTGACCTGTGTCGCCTGCGGGCCCCCAGTGCTGCTGCTATGCAGAGGAGCCACTCAGACCTGGTCCGTAGCACCCAGATGCGGGGACACAGTGGTGCTCGGAAGGCCAGTCTCAGCTGCTCAGCCCTTGGCAGCAGCCCTGTCCACAGGGCTCAGCTGCAGCCGGGTGGTACTTCTGGCCAGGGTGGCCAGGCCCTTGCAGGCCTGGAAAAGGACCTGGCTCCTGAGGATGGGACTTCTAACTCAGCCTGGATGCTGGGGGCGAGTCAGTTGTCAGTGCCACCACTAAACCTGGGGGACACAACTGCCCACAGCAGCAGTGCCCAAGCTGAGCCCAAAGCCGCTGAACAGCTGGCTACCACCGCCTGCCATGCTCTGCCCCCAGCTGCTCTACTCCGTGGCATGAGGGAGATGGGAGCTGGTGGCTGCTGCCATGCCCTACCTGCCACAGGGATCCTGGCCTTTCCCAAACTAGTGGCGTCAGTGAGCGAGTCTGGGCTGCAGGCTCAGCATGGGGTGAAGATCCACTGTAGGTTGTCTGGGGGGCTCCCTGGGCACTCCCATTGCTGTGCCCACCCTTGGGGTCCCACCGGGTTAGTCCCAGAGCCTGGCTCTAGGACCAAAGATGTGTGGACCATGACCTCAGCCAATGACTTGGCCCCTGCAGAGGCATCCCTGCTGTCAGCCCAGGATGCTGGTGTGCAGGCGGCCCCAGTGGCAGCCTGCAAGGCTGTGGCCACCAGTCCGTCCCTGGAAGCGCCTGCAGCCCTGCATGTGTTCCCAGAGGTAACACTGGGGTCCAGCCTGGAGGAGACGCCGTCCCCTGTGCGGGATGTGCGATGGGATGCTGAGGGCATGACATGGGAGGTGTACGGAGCTGCGGTGGACCCAGAGGTACTCGGTGTGGCCATCCAGAAGCACCTGGAGATGCAGTTTGAGCAGCTGCAGCGAGCGCCCACCAGCGAGGACAGCCTGTCTGTGGAGGGCCGGAGGGGACCACTGCGGGCTGTCATGCAGTCCCTGCGGCGCCCCAGCTGCTGTGGCTGCTCCAGTGCGGCCCCCGAGTGAGGAGCTGTGGCCCTTGGAGCTGGCCTGGGCCCACTGACTTTGTCCTAGACCTGGGCCAGGGATGATGGGGGCTCCGTGCCCCCTGGACCCACCGGCAGCTGGGCACATCTCTCACCTGAACATCGGCTGCCTCCGGACCACAGGACTGCAGCCTGGGGCTTCCTGCCCCACACAGCTGGGCTGTTTTCTTAAGGGCTTGATTTCCAAGGGCCACATCTCTGCACCTTGTGGGTTCTCAACTTTGAGACAGGGCTTTAGCACTGTGCGGAGGGGAGATCCTGAGTTTTCTGTAAAAAATGACCTTTTGTTCACTCCACCCTCAGAACTCTGCCATGTTGCCTCCTCAGACTCTTGGCTTTATTTGAAAGCAGTGCTGAGAAATAGTGAATTCTCGACATAAAGTGTGAGGCCCCAGTGACAGGGACTGCCCGGGGTTTAGGGAAGGGGACTAATGTTATCAGAGGCCTGCTGTGTACCACATACTGTGCTTGTCCTGTCTTCACCTCTTCATCCTGGTTTACAGATGAAATGACAGACATTTGGCAAGGCTGTAGCCGTTGTGCCCCACACTGGACAGCTTGAAGAGGTGGGACTGAGATTCAAAGCCAGGGCTGGCTGAGCCTGGGGTGTTTCCCCATAGCATGTGCCCGGTTTAGTCAGTGCAGTCATGTACAAGGAGAATTTACTGAGCCCATACTCTGTGCTGGGTTCTGTGGATCTGTGGTGAATGAGACAGAGGCTGCCCCTGCCCCGGCTGAGCTCATGGCATGGGTTGTGGATGGCAGGGGAGGATGCTGACCATTACGGAGGGCTGCCAGGCTTCCAGGGTCATTGTGTCAGAGGCTGTCCTGAGGAAGGGGAGAATGGGTGGCCACCTGCCCTAAAATCAGTTGCAAAGCCTAAAATTGCACTATTTTCACCTCATTCTGTCGGCTTAAGGATTTCTCCCCAACTGATGTAATTCGTGGAAGGAGGGAGCACAGGAATGGAGGGGGACAGGGAAGGAGCTTTGCCCTGGCCCCGGGGTAGGGGCTGTGAGGTTGTGGGGGCTCACTTGCCCACATGACCTGACCTAGGCTAGGCAGTGGGGGCCAGGGGCCTCGGAGAGACAGAAACAGGGGTTTGGCACAGTCTGACTTCGTTGCCCAAAAATTTCCCAAGGCCTGTGAGGAACGGGAGTCGGCTTGTGTTCTTGTTCTGGGTCTTGGTCTTGAAGATCCTAAGTTCTCGGGACACAGCCCCCCAGTCCACCCTTGCGAGGGACCAAAGGGCTAGTGTGGGGTCATGGCCCATGATCTGGCGTGTTTCTGGGGCTGCTTCTGCACCTAGAAGCCCAGAACCCCGAAACTGGTGGCTTACATTTCCCCATCCTCAAAGACCTGGTACTCACTGAGGTGGAAATGACTCATGCAACGGTGGGTGAATTTGTAAAGCAAGAGTGGCATTTCCACAGGCCACAAGGACAAAGTGAGAAAGGTGTGTGTCAGGTCAGATGCCTCCTGAGGCCCCACGATGGACCATTCTCACCTGTAAATGTGCCTTTCCAGTATGCATAGGTGCACCCCTTCTTGGGATTCTGGGGCTGTCAGTTCCTTTGTGTATGGTGCCAGAGCAGGCAGCTCACGTTCTGGGGAGTGACACATGGGTATATGCCATCTTCATGCGTGGCTCCCCATAGAGTCTCCAGAAACCCCAGCCTGTTGGGACCACATGGGTGGAGGGAGGGCAGGACCTGCCCGGCAGATGCTACAGCCTGGTCAGATACTTGGATGTGCCAGTCCTGCCAGGGCCATGATGAGTGTCTGCAGTGGCAGCTCATTTGGGGTGTGTGTTGGGTTGGGAGGTGACCAGGGGTCCCCATTGTGAAGATCCTGGTGTAACTGAGGAAAGGAACTTTAGGGAACTGTGGAAGGGGTTGGGGGGTACCAGATTTCAGTTTAGAAATATCCATTTGGCTTCCAGTGGAGAAGAGCAGGGTGCAGAAGAGGTGGGAGGCAGGAGCCCAGGAGTATGTGCTGGGGGACGCCAAGGAGGGGCCTGTTTAGGAGCAATGGAGTGGGCAGCTGGGAACTGAGTTCATACATGTGCACACACACGCATACACAGGCACACGTGTGCAGTGGACTTGGGGAGGAGGCATTTCAGGATGCTGAGGTTTCCCGTTTGAGCAAGAGGAGGATGAGGCCACTACCTGGAACAAGGTGAATGGCATGTTCAGCAGGTGCAGAAAGGGCCAGATGCCACAGGGTTTGGCTGGGACCAGTGAAACCCATTTCATGAAGAGACTTTCTTCTCTGTCACATGTAGATTCTCATATGTTCACGCTGGCTGGGTACGACTCTGTGCTACCTCCATGTTGCCCCAGGTCTCCAGGATGGCAGCCGGGCTGGGCTCAGCCAAGCTCCCGTTCACCTCATCGTCACTGAGATGAATATTTGTGGTGCTGGAATCCAACACCTGTGTCTTGGCTGGGGCCCCAGACCACTCTCCTGGTTAAACCACGATCTTTGTCTCCCTAGCCCGGTTGCACAGCTGCTGCCGACAGGTCTACCGGGAGTGACTGCAGCCTCAGTTCTGACTGGAACTGGAGACCCCTCCCATCCCCACTTGCTGTGACCTCTCCTGGGACAGGCCTGATACCTGCAGTGGTTTAGGGCCCCAGAGCATGGCCAGTGGTTTAGTTTACAGATTTCCTCCCCTTGGACTCTAGATTTCTGGCCAGAGTTTCTGGGTCCCTTTCAGGCCCTGCTGTGGGAGGCATTGGAGTTTACTGTTGATGTGTTTGGATTTGAATTCAAAATAGATACAAATTCAGAGGTCAGAGCTTTGCCAGACCCTAGCAGGGATGGGGCATCGGTCCTGGCTGGTCTTGTTTACTTTGTCATGGTAAATTCTGTTTTTTGGAGCATAAACCCCAGAGTTCTAGAGCCCCTTGTCTCAGCAGGAATCCCCCCTCTGTCTTCTCCAGGGGATCCCCACTTCTGCCCACCTGCTCTCCTTCTGTGGCATTCGGGACCTCCGACAGCTGAGGCCTGGCTTCCTGGAGTTTGTCACCTCTGGGCATGCCTGTCTTGTGTCCAGGACACAAGACATGCATCCCTTGTCTGGCCCCAGGCTGCCATCACTCTCACAAGAAACTTGTAGAGTAGAGCTGGCCTGAGGTCACAGTGCTGGTGGTGGTGGAAAAGCAGGGATGGCCTGTTCCACTGTGATCTTGCCTCCTGTGTCACCTGGATTGGGTCTCCGTCCCCCTAGACATGTTAGATCCTGACTTTACGAGAGCTGAAGGGGTCTCCTGCACACAGGTCCTAACACTTTGGGCTGGGGTCGGCCACTGTAGCTTAGTGGGCTAAAGCTGGAGTTTGAATCTGGGTCCACACCTATAGCCATGTGATCTTGGGCAAGTTGCAAGCCTTGATGATCTTCCTCATCTGTAAGATGGGGATGACAATGGTGCCTCCTTCACATGCTTGGTGTGGAGATTAAATAGAGTAACCCAGGTAGTGCCTGGCACTGAGTTAGTGCTCAGCACACAGGCTGGTAGTGTTGGGCACCCCTCTCATAGACACATTCAGGGGCCAGCTCTTACCTTGCTAGCTTGGCTGTGATCAAAGCCCACATCCCACTTCCTTAAAAGTTCCTTGTTCAGAGCCCCTTTCCAGGTTCTTTGCCCACAGCTTTGCACCCTGCCTGGGACTTGTGCCTTCTGAAAGGGGCCTCTGAAAATGTAGTTCCCAGAGTACACTGAGGAGGAGGGCTACCCTAGCCCTCACCACTCATCTTGGGTTGGGTTCTCCAGAAGCTTCTGCTGAGATGAGGATGCTGGAGTTACCAGGGAGGGGAGAGCAAATTAGGGGAGGGACAGAAGGCAAGGCAGGGTGTGATTTCAGTCCAAGCCAGACCCTAAAGGGGAGCCCTGGGTGCAATCCCACCTCAGAGTAAGGACTACCCAGGGGTGGAGATGTAGCCTTCAGGCACTTCTGCTCTCTGGCACGCAGGCTAGGAAGCTCTAGAAGCCCCAGGGTAGGTCTCCTCATGGAGTTGTAGGGCGAAGTTGTGCACAGAAACCACCAGAGGGAGTCACAGGCATTTGGGGGTGCACCAACTGACATTTGCGTCCGTGTCATGGCAAGCTTGTGGCCCACAAATGCCCAGACCTTTTCTCCATGCGTTATTCTGTCTCAGTTTTGTTCATGCCAAGCAGTCTTGGTTAGTTAAATGCAGAGCTTGGCATGTGCCCATGTTAAATTCCTTCTCTTTTTTCATTCTGGCCTGGCCTGATTTTGCCATCTGAAGCTATGACTAGTCCTTTATCAGTTTTCATCCAACTTGTCAGGCAGGGCAGGGCTGGTATGAAGCCCAGGACGTATCGCTGGGACATCCTGTAGGTCTGTGAGATTCCCAGGTCCCTCCAAATCCACACCTTCATCATGAGCAAATTAATTTAAGTCTGATCTGTTAAGATCCAGATCTGTCACGCCAACAGTACCCACCCGTTTTTCCCATGGCCATGGAAGGAAGGTAGCATAGCCTGACTCGAGTCCTCGTTCTCAGCAGAACTGGTTCTGTCGTGGCCACTTCCCTTTCTCAGCTCTTACCTACTTCTGTTTCATAGGCTGGTCTGCAAGTCTGAGAGCAACAGCAAGCTTAGAAGTGTGGACTCGGCCTGTTACAGTGGCTCATGCCTGTAATCTCAGCACTTTGGGAGGCTGAGGTGGGCTGATTGCTTGAGCTCAGGAGTTCGAGACCAGCTTGGGCAATATGGCAAAATCCTGTCTACAAAAAATACAAAAATTAGCTGGGCATGGTGGTGTGCATCTGTAGCCTCAGCTACTTGGAGGGTTGAGGTGGGAGGATTGCTTGAGCCCAGGAGGCAGAGGTTGCAGTGAGCTGAGACAGTGCCACTGTGCTCCAGCCTGGGTGATGGAGCCAGACCCTGTCTCAAAAAAAGACAAGAAAGAAGTATGGACTCCACCTTCTTGCCCTTTTGTAGATTGGGAACTGCCTGCCCTTGGCCTCTTTCCCGTCCATCTCGTATTATGAAAGGTTGTTTCTGGCACACCCAGGCTCCTCTGCATGCTTCCTGGGAAGTGACTGAGGGTCAGAGGAATGGAGCCCCTCTGCAGTTGGCCGCTGGTATCTTCCCTATTGAACCCTTCTTTAGGTTTGCTCGCTCTTTTTGATGGGTGTCTTTCCAAAGCTGGCTGGGGACCTCCCTGATTGAGAGACATGGGGCTAGTTCTGTTGCTGTGGCTACACAGAAATAATAAACCAGAAAAACACCTGAAGAAAGTTGTTTACTAAAAAAGAAACAAGCGAAACCAAAGTGATATGGGCCTATAGGATTGGGGATGGGTGGCGGGCTCTGACTCCCTTGTCCCAAGAGTTGTGTGAATGTCACCTTGGCTCACTTGTGCAGTCACTCTCCAGTACTCCCGCCTGGCCTCTCCCACTCCAAGCCTGAGATAGTTCAGCAAGGAGGCAGGTCTGGCCCCAAAATACGAGCTCCCCAGGTGGATATCCTAAAATTCATCTTTCGTGGCCCTACTTTATTGGGAGGGAATATGAAAATTGTGAGAATATGGCCATTGACATCTGGGGCTCAGGGCAGGGGAATGTGTCTAGTTTTAAGGTGTGTGCTTTTAGCCATGCAGTGCTTGCCCGGTCTGTCCTGCCTGGAGTTTTTCATTTCCCTGCAGCTTTCCTGAGAAAAGACAGAGTGTTCTTTCTCTGTATCCTATGAACATGGCCCCAGGACTGCAGTACCTCTGTGTGTGCACAGCCAAGGACAAGTCGGGGGACCTCTGCTAGTCCTGCACCCACTGCCCTGGGTGCTCTGTCATCGCCATCCCCCATTTCTCTTTGTTCTTCTTTTTTGGTTTCATGTTCTCTTTGTTCCGGGTTATTCAGAACCTGTCTGCCTCCCCGCTATCTATTGTCCTTGTTCCTGCCTCCTCCCGCTTTGTGCCAAGGATTTACTTGCCTTCACCTTCTGGCTCCATACAGTAGTCTCTCTTCTTGTGGTCTGGGCCATTCCCCGCACCAGGCCCCAGCTGTGGCTGCGTCTGGGTCTTGGCATTTCTGATTTACATGGGTCTAGGCCTTTTCTCTCCACCTGTCCTTCCCCTCTTTGGACACAAGCCAAAACATCTGAGCATCTCCTTACAGAGGGAGATCTTCCTGGGGTTGCTGTGCCAAGTTTCCATTGCTTTTGCCGAGAATGAGAAATCCGTTGTGAGTGGTCCTGCTGGGTGAATGGAAGGACTTTGGTGAGGCTGGAAGGCCACCCCATTAGTCCTAACTTTTGGTGGCCCTTGTTGGGGGCTGGTTGGCTAGGCTGCTGGAGAGGTACATCAGGTGGGTGGCACCCATCTGCTGGCTTTAGGCAGGCCATCTCCTCGTCCATGTTTTCAGAATCTTCTTGCATGGCTTGTAATTGGGTTGGGGTGTGGCCTGAGCCCCTGTGGGGACACACTGCACTGACCCACCTGTGTGCTTCTCTTCTGTCAGGAACTGGATTCATGTCCAAGAGCCAGGGCTAGGGACTGGAGGAGGAGATTTCTGTCTTTGACCCCTCCGTATTAGTCCGTTTTCATGCTGCTATAAAGAACTGCCCCGAGACTGGGTAATTTATAAAGGAAAGAGGTTTAATTGACTCACAGTTCCACGTGGCCAGGGATGCCTCAGGAAACTTACAGTCATGGCAGACTGCGAAGGAGACGCAAGGCACATTCTTCACAAGGAAGCAGCAAAGAGAATGAACGTGGGAGGAACTACCAAACACGTATAAAACCATCAGAGCTCATGAGAACTTACTATCACAAGAGCAGCATGGGGGAACCGCCCCCATGATTCCATCACCTCCACCTGGTCTCTCCCTTGACACGTGGGGATTATGGGGATTACAATTCAAGATGAGATTTTGGGCGGGGACACAGCCAAACCATATCACCTTCCCAGGCCTGAGCAAGGCCCAAGTAGGGCGCCTCTGTTGGGGCTGGAACCCTGGGAGGCGTAGAATTGTCCCCTCCACTCAGATTTGTTTCCTGTTGCTGCCCACCTGGCCCCTCTCCTGCAGCCTTCTGCCTGGCCTTCCCTCTGTTCACTTCTCATTTTTAGCAGTCAACAGACTGGGAGATGGTGGCCAAGGGTGTCATTTTGTATGCAAGCTTTGTGGCTTTTGTAAGCCCAGCCTGCAACTCTTGAGGAAAACTCTCTGGTTTGATTTTTTTCTCTTCAGAGTTGGGGGGATTCAGGGAGAGGGGCAAGGGCTTCTTGTGAATTTGAATTCTTGAAGGGGTGGAAGCCCCCTGGGCTGGGGGAAGGGGTGGGGCAGGAACCAGCAGGGGTGTGGACACAGGGGGCTGGCACCTGGGATACTGTAGGACAGCTGGGCAGGAAGTCAGATGCTGTTCTATTGAGTTTTTTTATATTTTATCATTTTTTTCATTAGTTTTGATTTTAAAACACTACATTAAAATAATTAAAATATTATTTATCTTATGGTTACCGAATCACTTAGTGTTGCCTTAAATTTTGTGCCTAGTCCCTGCCTGACTTCTCCTCCTCCTCTCCCACTACTCTTAGTCCCTGTGTCATAGGGACTGGGAGCAGATAGGCCCCCCAGCGTTCCTACTCTAATCTCCTACCCTGATCCATAGTGCAGGGCGGCGCTGGGGAGGGTGGCTTGTGGTTGATCCCGTGGCCTGGTTTGTGGTCAGGTGTGTGTCCCCAGACAGGCGTGGGTCCTGGGCCAGGCATGGTCCTGGGCGGTGCGGCCCGTGACAGGAGCCGACACCTCCTGGTGGGCATCTGGCTCCAGAGCTGGGAGCCCTGGAGCCTGCAGGGATTCAGGAGGGAGGAGTCCCAGTGGGGCAGCGCAGGGGAGGGCTCCCAAGGCCCTGAGCTGCAGTCACGCGCCCCACTTACACCTTTGACTCCAGATGCAGCTCATCCTAGCGAGGGGCTGGATAAAAAGGCCTTCCTCTCTTTCCTCCCTAAGCTGTGCCTTTGTGCAAATCTGGTGGTGCAAACCTTTGGTCTGCCTTCATCTTTTTTTTTTTTTTGAGACGTCTTGCAGGCTGGAGTGCAAGTGGCACAGTCTCGCTCACTGCAACCTCAGCCTCTGGGTTCAAGCGATTCTCCAGCTTCAGCCTCAGCCTACCGAGTATCTGGGACTACAGGTGCTCACCACCACGCCTGGCTAATTTTTGTATTTTTAGTAGAGATGGAGTTTCACCACGTTGACCAGGTTGGTCTTGAACGCCTGGTCTCAAGTGGTCCACCCTCTTTGGGTTCCCAAAGTGCTGGGATTACAGATGTGAGCCACTGCAGCTGGCCCCTTTACTTTCTTGATAAACTTGCTTTCACTTTACTCTGTTGACTGGCTTTTGAATTCCTTCCTGGGTGAGGCCAAGAACAGATGTAGCCTCCCAGGCTGAACCCCAGTTTGGTGGTTTGCCCCATGACACCCGCAAAGGGCTGGGCTTCCCTTCTTCCTGGGGAGGGAGTCAAGGAAGTGGCTGTGTCTTGAACACCCATTCCTCTCTCCTTTCATGCGCACAAGGCCTCTTTGAGCTGCTGTCTTCCTGAGGATATGTTCAGCTGCAAGTAACTTAACTTTGAACTGAAAGTTACCTAAACAATTAACAATTATTATAGAATGTTCACCTTCCCACTGAAGAATTTAGGTGGTAACTGGCTTCAGGGCGGGCTGTGTAGCTCAGTGTGGACATGGATTCAGGTTATTTCCATATTTGTGCTTTGCCATCTTCAGAGCATAGTGAGGGCTGTCCTTACCCCCACGATGGCTGCTGCATTTAAACTCTGGAATTCAACTGCTGGAATTCATACTTCAGTCTGTTTGACTCCAGGGCGGTCATTTTGTTTGTCTTTTCAAAAATGAAAATAATACATACTTATGATAAGAATTTAAAACAGTACAGACCTCGGCCTTTTGTTTTATTCATGATAGGAATTTCAAATAGTGTGTAAACTGAAAGTCTGACCCTCACCCTTCTCTGGAATTCCCGTGGGTTACCACTGAAAATGTTAATAATTTCCATGGACCTGCCACAAACTTCCTTGGTAATCACAAGCTCAGACCTCTGAATATTCCACACAAGTGAGATCCCACTTAGATACTATTCTGCATTAATTCTTCAAGATAGACCAGGCACTGTGGCTCACGCATGTAATCCCAGCACTTTGGGAGGCTGAGGTGGGCGGATCACCTGAGGTCAAGAGTTCTAGACTAGCTGGGCCAACATGGTGAAATCCTGTCTCTACTAAAAATACAACAGTTAGCTGGACATGGTGGCGAATGCCTGTAATCCCAGCTACAGTCAGGGGAATCACTTGAACCCAGGAGGCGGTGGTTACAATGAGCTGAGATTGTGCCACTGCACTCCAGTCTGGGCAACAGAGCGAGACTCTGGGAAAAAAAAAAAAAAAAGATATGTCTTGCAGATAATACTGCCACATACAGCAATATTTCTTTATTTTCTTCCTGGGCATATTGTATTGCATAGTATACAGGTGCCTTTTAAAATTAAACCAGCCCTCTTTTTCTGGACTTTATGTTATACCTCAAGTTTTTTTAACTTAATGGATTTATTTCTTAGATGATAAATTAGATTTATTTATTATTTAATTAGAAATAATCTTAGATTAAGAGAAAAAGTATGCAGAAAATACAGAGTTCCCCTACACTTTCTCACTCTCATACACTTTCTCCTATTATGAGCTTGCATAGTGTACAACATGGTACATTTGTTACAATTAATGCACCAATATTGATACATTACTGTTTCCTAAAGTTCGTGGTTTAAATTTACTCTTTGTGTTGGACACTTCTCTGGATTTTGAAAATCCATGTGATGTATCTCCCACTCCAATAGCATACAGAATAATTGGACCACCTAAAAATCCCCTGTGCTCCGTCCATTCACCCCCTTACCTTCCTCAGGACTCCTGGCAACCACTGATCTTTTTACTGTCTCTATAGTTTTCCTGAATGCCATAGAGTTGGCATCATGTAGCATGTAGCCTTTTCAGACAGGCTTCTTTCACCTAGCAATATGGATTTAAGCTTCCTCCATGTCTTTTCATAGCTTGAGAACTCATTTCTTTTTAATGAAAATTAAAAAGTGCTGAAAAATGTTCTATTGTCTGGACCTACGGCCATTTATTCATCCACCAAAGGACATCTTGGTTGCTTTGAGGTTTTGGCTATTATGAATAAAACTACTATAAATATTCATGTGCAGGTTTTGAAGTGGACAT